CTGAAATCTCTTTCATCCTCCTCCAGGCCGAGCAGGTGACGATGCGATCCACCCGCCGCCCCCAGGCATCATACTGCCGAAACACAGGGGGGTTCAACTCGCATTCCCACCCCAGAGGTTTGATCGTGGTTAGCAATCGGTTTCCAAATCTCTCCAGATCCTCATTCACCTCCTCCAGTACCTGTGAAGCAACAAGAGCAGCCCTTCAGCACCCCCCTGGAAGGCGAGGTGCCTCGGTCCTAGTAGGAAAGGCAGAGGACTGGCCAGCCTGTCCTGTTAGTGCTCTCTTGCCACTTGGCCTTTCCGTGCATTCCATAATGCAGCAGGACAGCTTGCCTCTTAGCCTCTGCTGGCACAGCTGTGCTCAGCTGTCACTTTTTTTATTTTTTTCCCCCCAAAATAATTTTTTCAAGTTACTCTTGGCAGCATCGCTGGATTTTACAAAAGACAGAAGAGCTTTTGTATCAGGGCTGAGAATGGCACAGATACACACGAGCAGGGGAGTTGGACGAGATGATCTCCAGAGGACCTTCTGACCTCAGCCACTCTGATTTACTGCTGGAGAAGAATGCCAGGGGAAGAGCTGCCAAAACCGGAAAGCCTTTTCTTATACAGATGAACTTCCACTGGGCTCAGTAGTTACCTGCCTATCAGGTTATAAAAGAAGGGACAGAGCAATCATTTGAGCTTCAGCCTGGCACCCAGGCTGTCTAGATTCAAATTTCCACCCTGCATCCAGCTTCCTAACCAGCCCTGGATAACAATTCACACACCCTCGTTTCAGCCAGGCTTGGCTGACTTGGATGGAGTAGTCTGTCCACAGTTAACAGAGGGAAACTGGCACCCACAGAGAAGTGATTCATTCCAGCCCTCTTAGACACCTATTTCAAGGTGACAGGAATTGTATTCTGCAAGTGCCCTTCACTGTCTGTGGCCAAAATCTAGTGAAGGTGCCTAGACTTAAATAACCTGACTTGTAGGTGATTAAAATTAGGCCAGGAGGACTCAACTTTAAGCACTGTTGGATCCTCATTACCATAAATGCATCCAAGACTGTATTGGTGGTCAGAGAAACACCTGATCTAGATTTACTTTCACCAGAGGAGTATTTTTTGCTGTTCTCTATGCCTCAAGAGACGCTTGTTTCCTCAATTTGACAATCGTGGAGGTGAAAGCTGCAGCTGCTGTACCCAAAATGGTGCAATTAGAAAACACATTAATTTGCTCTTGATAAAATACAAACACTGCTTCTTCCCTTCCCTGCCTCCCCCTGTATTGACTTTTCACTAAACTACATCCCGTATGATTGATTCTTCCATCGCTGTGCTGTTCCGCGTGTGCAATGAGGATCCAACACACACTGTCCAGTTACGATGCTGTAAGTCTCCATCCTCAGAGCAGCCAGTTTGCCTTCAGGTGAATGGTGAAATAGTGTTTAAAATCACAAAACAAACCAAAACCATGTACGAGAGCCCTGTCAACTGGTACAGCTCCCACTGCACTCCTGTTTGCTGTTGGGGGAGCTCAGCTGGGATGGGTGTACGCCTCCAATGCTTATCATATCTTGACAACAATTTGGAAGTTGTTTTAGAGGCATAACCTAAGAATCCAAGGTTCACGGCCTTTGCTGATGCCTGAAGCACAAGAACCTTTGAGCTGTTTACCAGGTGGGTTTTTGTTGGCAGAAGAGTATCAGTCTACCAAACAGGTCTCCTGGTCAGCACACTACAGTAAACCCAAACTACAACAGTCCCCTTCACCTCATCCACATTTTCTAAAAAAACTCCTGACTGCCTAGCTGTGAGCTCATGCCCTGACCACACGCAGCCTTACAAACCACTGTGTTACCCAAGTGATTGTGTTTATTTCCATGGTAAAAGGACAAAATCAGAGGTCCTGCATTTGTGACTGCCCAGTGTAACACACAACAGCCTGGGCATGCCAGAAAAAGGTACACCACGATACAGAGCGGGCACCTGTAAACCATCAGGGTCAGGGCTGAACCCGCTACCTTGCAGCATCTGCTGGGGGGTCCCATTCACCCGAATCTGTCCTTCGATGTCACAGGGATGAATATATTGGAAATGTGCAAATTGTTGCACACTAAGAGTGCAATCAGATGATCCTTTATATTAAAGGGCATATTTTCAGGGGGATCAAAGACCAACAGATACCTCTCCACAACAGTGCGCAGAAAAAGCAGGTGCTTTCTTTTCTGTTCCCCAGAAATCAGCTTCAAACAAAGAAAGCAATCTTTTTCTCCATTCCAGGAAAATTTCTGTGTTCACCACTGAACACAGGTGAATAGTACAACAGGAATCAACCTCCAGCGTGGTGTCTGCTTCTGTGGCACACACAAAGCTTCATCCTGCTCTCCTGGACAGGAGGGTGTTCATACGGACAGCTAGCTCTGGGGCTGCAAACAAGCGGGCGCTGCATGAAGCAGAGAGCAGACTCAGCTCTCCCCTCTCAGCAGCGAGGCAACACTGCCCCGCTGGGACCAAGCACAGAAACGTAAGGGAGATGCTGCTGATTCTCTGGTAGATTTTGCAGCTGCTTTGTCTTTTTGGGGAAGGAGCGGAGAGCAGCTCTCAGCCTTGGCGAAAGACATCACTGATCCTTTTAGTCTTCGGGAGACCTGAATCGTGCTACTTCCAAAGACACAGATCAGGAGCAAGAGCTTAATGGTTGCCCAAAGGCATCCACCTTTTCCCCCATACTGCTGCTTAGGGAAGCCTCATTCCCATCTTTCATGACAGCTGTGACAAAAGCAAGCTCCCAATGCTGCCTCCACGCTCTTAATACCCCATGTCTGCAAGGCCTCACAGACCTGGAGAGCAAGCAGTGTCAGGAAGAGCATCACTGAAAGCCAGGTTCTGCCCCTTTACTCCTCCAGTGTCGCTGCATTGCTTCTGCTGGAGTAAATCACAGAGAGGGGTCACACTCTGCTCCGTGAGATACAGTCCCTGAAAAGTGGGAAACAGTTGTAGCCCTTGGGGTGACAGGAGAGGCCAGCCAGTGAGATGCGCTGCCTCCTGCCAGGGGTGCCTGTAGGACTGGACCTCACAGAACAGAGACCCACAGCTCAGGGTCTCACCCCACCTCTCTGCACCCCTGCAATCTGTACACAGCCTTCCCTGTCTTGAAAAACAACCCAGAAAAGCCAATGACCCGTGCTGGGGACAGACAAACCCCAATGGGCCTCTGCATCCTTTTGAGCGCTCAGCTAAGAACAGCCCCGTTCCTTCAGAAAGGAATTTCCTTAAATGCCCCTCTTCCCCGGGGAGAGGGAAGAGCACAGCAGAGTTTGGAAGCACCTTAGTTTTCTCCCTTTCTCTGAAATTTCTTTCTTTGGATGACCAGACAACAAATGCCTGCACTGACAATCCCAAAACAACACTCTTGTTGCAACACCCAGGCCAGTCACAGATCACGAAGCCACTATTTCTGTTTATGTCCTGGCAGTATTTTTTACCTCTGCACTGATTCAAAGATACCAAGCTTTAAAGAATGCTGATAAATTCCCCTCAGTTAAACGTTCAAAGGCACAAAAGGGCTCAGAAAAATGCTCAATTCACAGTCTTAAACAGTGACCCAGCCAGAACTGTAGTGTGTATACACAGAAACACAAACATGCATGCCAGACCTTGGGAGGAAGGTGTGTTTTCAAGTAACTCTGAAGCAAAGCATCTTCCAAATACTGGTTCCCAGTCTCAGGCTGCTCTTGGAAGAGGGTCTCCATTTCTCTCCTTGCAAGAGGCGTTTCGAGATCCTCTAGTACTTGTTTCTCCTGCACGCCGACCTGTTGCCCCTGCCCCGCGGTCACACTGATTCCTTTAGGACTCGGCGGTTTGCTCCTCTCCCAGACGTGAAGCAGAAAGCGACTCGAGGGCCACAGCTTGCAGGTACCACTGGATCTCCACCAAGGCAGGCGACAGGTAAACATGATCCCACAAAGCCCCAAGTGTGTCCCACCAACAGCTCTTGCCACGAGACTTTTCCTCGGTTGACAGCAGCACCAGACCTGTTTTGTTTTAATGTTGTGAAGTTATTCTTAAAAAAAAAAAAAAAAAAAAAAATCAGTTATGTCTTTTCCCCTCCCTCAGGGAGGAGCTTTCCAGCAGCTGTTGTCAACAGAACTAGGGAAAAGGTCTTTGGAAAGAGATCAGAAAATGGCCTGGAAAAACACAAGCACTCAGAAAAACACTGTGTTCTCCCCTACCAGCTGGGCAAACCATCATAACCAACTGACATTTCCAGAGTGGGGGAAACCAGGGGGTATCCCTACCAGCATCCCCCAGAATAGCTCAGGATGATAACGGGTTAGAGATGAGAAGGAAAAAAATTATTTCCTAATCTGAAGGATACCAAAATGCCCTGAAATGGTAAAAAATGGTTTAGGTGGGTTATTCTGTAAATACGAAACTGGTGAAATAGAGAATCCATCTTCCTTGCCCGAGTTGTGACGCTAGCTCCAAAATAATCTGCCTCTTATTAAATCCCTGGTGTCTTTAATTTGAGTCAGGATGGTATTAAAAGTGTCCCTATCCCTAGGGAAGTACCAGAATATTCTAACAACGTGTCTTCTGGCTTTGAGTAATTTATAAACTTGCACCCGATTTTGGGCGATATGCTGCTAATAAAAACAGTATTTTACTTTACAACAGTTTTAAATGGGCATAATACCAAACTGCTGTTACGAGCACGACTGTTGGGGCCTGAAGCGTGGGGTGAAACGCAGGGACACGTCCCAGCCCCTGCCTGAACTTAGACCGGCTGGAGAGTGGAAGAGTGAAACAAAACCAGTCAGCTTTCACCTCAGGCCAGTCTCACAAGGCCACGCTGGTTTGGTACTTGAATATTCACGTACTCGCTCGGTGGCATCTCAGTCCTTTCCTGACACTTTCCTGACGCCGTCACAGCCACGCCACGTTCCAGCACCCACCGTCCCCGCTTCCCCGGGGCTCGGCATACACCGAACGCTCCGACCACCCGGAAAACGCCATCCCGCAGCTCCGACTGGGCTTCGCTTCTGCGCCGGGGGCGCCGCAGTCCCGCGGGCACCGGCCTGCGGAACCTCCGGTGTGGTTCCCCCCCCCCCCCCCTCCCCCGCCATGGCCGCGCCGCCAGCCCCTTCCCCAGGGGCGCCTCCTTCTGCCCGAGCTGCCGGGCGCGGCACGGAGCCGCTCGGCCCGGGGAAGGGCACGGAGGGTGCCGCCGCCATCCCGCTTCCCCTCAGCGGGGCCCGCCATGGCTGAGGGGCGGGACTCCGCCTCGCAGCGAGGCCGCCGGGCCGGGCCGGGCCGGGCCGGGCCGCGCCGCCACCGCCCTCCGCCCACCGGCATCGCGGTGCAGGCCCCGGGGGGCCCGCGGTGCGGCGGCGGGGCGAGGCGGGGGAGCCGGCGGGGCGAGGCGGGGGAGCCGGCGGGGCGAGGCGGGGGAGCCGGGGCAGGTACGCGTGTGGCCCGGCCCGGCCCGAGCAGCAGGAGGAGATGGAGGCCGCGCCTCAGAGGGGGCGGCGGGTGAGGGGCAGCACCCGGCCCCGGGTCTGAGCTTCAACTCAAAAAAAAAAACCCCAAACCAAACCAAAACAGCCGTTATAAAAAAAAAAAAAAAAAAAAGTTTAAAAACTGCATTTGGAATCGCGGCTGCTTTTTTAGGGCCTGCTGTAGCCTGGCATCGCCTGAAATGAGGCGTAAGGGGCAGTCGGTGCCCGGGGGTGAGGGGGTGAGGTCCCCAGGGCGGGGACGGGGGTTCCTGGGGTGCTGGGGAGGAGGTTTGGTTTCTCCCAGTTCGCCCCGATTTCCTGATAAGTGGTGATAAAGCGCCTTCCGAGCGGGTGAGCGGTGGGGCTGTGGAGGGCCAGGGTGGTGGTGAAGCCCTGTACCGAAACACCCAGGTCAGAGTCGATAAGCTCAGTCTAGATGATGTTTCCTTTTCACAGTAAATCAATTATAAGTGTGGTATGTTGTAGAAGACATGTTTTCTTATCTCTCTGGCTTGCTTAAATCAACTTTATTTAGCTAATAACTTCATGTTGGAATAATGCCTTTGTCTGCTTTAATTGCATTCCAGTCCTGTTCACGGTGCTTAGCCAATCATGAGTAAAAAAAATACTTTCCTAAAATATTTAACATATTAAAAATTTTGCAGGTGTATATTTGTTTAAATATACTTTTATAGCTGTAATCTGTCCTCATTACTAAATGAAGTGCTAAATTTAGCATAAAAGCTGTCAACATGTTCCAATCAACATGTCTTAATGACTGCCAACAAATGGAAATGAGGCTTTCATGGAAAAAAGCTGAAAAGGTACAAACTGCAGAACAAGATTAGATCAACTGTTTTGATAAAAGTCCATTGCTCACTGCCTTAAGTCACGATTAAAACCAACCCACTGTGTTTATGCTATTATTTTAATTGTTAATAGAAATACTGACTAGCTGCAGACAAGGCAGCGTTCCTCTGGGGACCTGTTTGTGGTGTTTCCTTTCATCGGTGTCTCCCCGTTAGCAACTACATGTTGAGATCTCCCAGTGAGCCATTTTTCAAACCAGTTAATGCGTGCCGTGTTAATTCCAGCTAATGGAACTTTTTAATCAAGATTTCAGATGGTGCTACATCAAGCACCTCACCAAAGTGTGAAACATGTAATGTCCACATTATTGCCTTTATCAATTAGCTTTACATTCTTGTAAAAAGAGTATTTTCCTCTTTAGTCCAGGCTTGTGTAACAGGGCTTGCTTTCACTGAAGCAATGTGGACTTCTCTGATTTTTTTTTCTCTATTTTTTTTTTTTTAAACTTTCAAGGTGTCTCAGAAGAATCATTCCTTTATTCCCACCAAGATCGATGTTAGTGCGTTTCCTGCTTACCCTTGCTAAAATACTGGCTGCTATTGGCAGACTTCCAGTTCTTTCACATTCCCCCTTCACACTTTTTAATGGTTGTAGGAATTAACATTTGTGGTTTGGAATATGAGAAATGCATTTTGAAATGGCATCAGCTGACACCAGGTACAGTTGTGGCCCTGAATTTCAAATACTATTGATCGTTTACCAGTGAACAGGGAGTTTTCTCGCTCTGCAGTCTCTCAGACAGTGCCATGGAGTATCCTTCATTTGCTGTGCTTTAGCTGTCCTGGCTGGCAATTAGCTTTCAGACCTGAATAAGCTGAAAAATCTCATTCTTAGTTTAAGGAAAATGAGAAATAGCAATGATTGTGTACTTTCCATGTGTCTCATATCTTCTGGGTTTTTTTCAGGTTTTAATTACAAGTGGAAGGCAGGTCTTTCAAATACAGGATGGCTACTCATCAGCTTTTACAGACTAGGCAAAAGAAAAAGTCCTCTACGGTAAAAACCTTGAAATGTGATGGTACTGACAGGTTTTGGACCTGGCACGTCTGTGCCTGGTGAGGTGGGAACGCTCTGTTGTCTGCACTGTTCTTAGTTGTATTATTTCCAAGTTAGTGAGTCCAGGAAGATGAAGCATGGGGCTTTGACATGTATTTGACTAAATAAATGTAGGCTCATTAGGTGTGCGCGGAACTTTTTCAGCAGGAAGAAAAGCAACAAACTAATAGAGGAAATAAATTTAGTACACTTTCTGCTGAGATTGTCATGTTAAAATCACACAGTGGTTAGTATTTACATTAGCACCAGTCATAGACGTGTACTGTTTACAACTCTGTGTTAAAATCACTCTGAAAAATTAGGTCTGTGTGAAGTGTTGACAGGCTCAGTCTGCTGTCAGATCTCAAAAAAAGCTGTGGCAGGCAGTGAACTTGGGTACAGCAGTGAATGGCACACAAGCACTGGCACTTGTTTGACTCCACGATTAACTCTGTAGAGCTAAACTGGCAGAAAAATATACTTTTTTTTTTTTTTTTTTTTTTAATGGGTGGATGTCTGTTAAGTGCCAGCATTGGTGCAGTGGAGGGAGTGGGAATGTTCAGCTGTGATAAAAGGGGAGGGAATGACTGACCAATGCAGTCTGCCTCTGAGTAAATGGTCAGATCTATTGATAACTATCCTGAAAACATTTAATCCCACCCATGTTAGACATGAGCCTTCCCTGTGTAGTAGGAAGACCAGAGAAACGTCGAAATTACATTTCTAAATTACTCTCTTTTTCCACCTGCTGAGAGTTGTTTCTAAATATAATCCCTGTGTTATACTAAAATGGTACTATTTTTGGCTTTGCCCTTCTTTTTCAGACGTCAGTGTTGTTCCCCAACAAAATTGCTACTGAGCAGCAGTCTGTGGTGCTGGTGGAAAGACTTCTGGCCATCTCTGTGTCCTGTATAACATACATGCGAGGGCTGTTCCCAGAGAGCTCTTACGGAACTCGCTATTTAGATGGTAACACTTTCAATTTGTGCTGAATTCTTATTGCTACTTGCTATATTTTAGCTATAATCTGCTTTACATGCTAGCTTCCAGCTTCTCATATACACATATGAGATCAGTTTATTAGGAAGTTAGCTAACAGGCCTTCTCAACTCTGGATCCAGACAGTGCTTCTGCATTAGATAGCTAGAGAGCGTAGAAGACAATCTAGAGCTATTGGCAACTCATGGCTTTTCTGTTAGTGTTTCTTTTGGTTTATGATCATAAAAAGCATTTCCAGCCCAGTGAATCAGATCTCAGAGTCAGGATATTGACATAAACATCAATAAGTTTTAAAAAATTATCTCTGATTGGTGTCTTTTATTTTCCTTTGTATTTTTGAGTCCTTGAGGTTCACATATTCAGCTTTCCTTGTGAGACTGAAAGTAGATTTGTTTGTTTTATTGTTGTGTTTTTGTTGTTTTGGTTTTTTTTTTCTGTGAAAAAATGTCACATAACCACATGCGCTTGGGAAACAGAACTTTAAGAAAAAAAAAAAAAAAAGAATTTTAAGAACCAGAGTCTTGTCGTGGGATCACAAGAATTAGCAATGCTTTGATTCATCGATATCTTTATGTCCATCCATGATATGTTGATGGGGTGTGAAACATATATGCCTTCCAGTCTGTTTCCACGTTTTCACTTAGGCAGTTAGCTGTCCTGAAACATGGTCACAGTACTTTGTGGACACTTGGTTGAGGGCAGAGAAAATCCAAAATTGGCTCTTGATCACCTAACCATGAAAAGCCACTAGTCTTTCTTTTCAAGCGTCAGGTCTTCCAAGTGCCTTTTTGATCAGGAATGTTAACATCTGGCCAGCTTACACCTTTGAGGGCTCCTTCATCCTGAGGTGTTATTAATTCACCTCTTGATTTGCAGGACAGGTTTTCTCTTGCCTAAAACCAGAGGTAGAAGGATCTGTATGGAAAATCTTAAAAGAAGCAGTTTATTCTGTGCACAGTCATTTGTTTTGTATGGATGTTGGTGAAGTCTGAAGGCAGAAGTGAAGGTGTTGTTAGGGAATGATGGTGTGGATGGGAGTGAAGAAGAGGAGGGAGGAGAGGACAGAAGCTGGTGGTGTTTTGAAATTAAGCCACAATTCTAGCACTTTTTCTGGGAGACCCCAGAGCATCTGAGGAAAGTCTTGACATTTGAAAATGCAGCAATAAGGTTGTGTCAGCCCACCTGGGAAATGTTGGTGGAAAACCAACATTTCCGCTCAGGAAGGACCTCCAGATAACGCATTTTATCCAAAAATGGGAGGGTGACTGGCTTAGTTCCAGTGTTTGCCCAACAGCTGTGATAAGGATGTAACTATGTGCTAAATCTGGTTTTGCAGACCTCTGTCTGAAAATTCTCCGAGAAGATAAAAGCTGTCTGGGATCATTGCAGATAGTCAAGTGGTAAGTGAGTAACAGCGAAACTAAGACAAGATTGTGCTGAATAGCAAGACATCTACCCCTCACATTCTTCTTCTTCCTGAATTTGAAAATATTGTGCCCAGTAGCGCTATCAGCTATGCCAGTGCAACTCCCACTGCTGCAATGTGTGTGCTTGGCCCTGTGCGTAGGCAAGACAGAATTAGCTGACCAAGATCATGTGAGTTCAAGGTCTGTTGAAGTGTTGACTGTAATGAGGTCATGGTCAGGCCCCAGAGCACACACAGGCAGCATAGATGTGGAGAGAGGGTAAGGAAAATCATGAGATTGATTCTGTTGCTGTTTAGTCTTTCCTAGTTTAGCTTTTATGGGGATTTTTGAAGCTTGTTTTTTAGTATGTACAGTATTTTATCTCCCTGGATATTGTGTGTCTAAGTACCCTACAGTTTTCTTTAGGATGTATTTCAGGGTTGGCATGTTCCCAACAAGCAGGGATTCTGACTTTGATTTGCTAAGGAGATACCTAACTGCACAGCCTTTGACTCGGAGTAAATATCTGACCATTCCTACCTGAAATAATATTTAATGCTTTGAGAAAATACATAACTGTAAACTGTGCATCAAATACCAAAAATTTACAAGACCAGACGTGTCAGGCTGTGTTCAGATTGAAGTTTCAGCCAAGCTCTGTACACTGCCAGTGGGAAAAGAGCCACTGGAGAGCAAGCTGGGGAGCCAAAGTAGAGCACTGAGCAGAAAACCACTTGGAGCCAGCCCTAAGCCTCGAATCCTTGTCTTTGTCAGGGTTTAAGTGGGCTCCAGGCTGACAGGATATGGCCCTAGAAGTATAAACAGTGCACAAATGCAGAAGGGAGGACAGTGCCTTTATGATGGTTGACCTGAAAAGGACTTTACAAGCTCAAAACGTTGCTAGCTGTGTTGTCTTAATTCCAGAAAAAAATGCACTTGAAACTATCTAATGAGTGTGTGTTTACAGATCTGGAGATAAATATTGCTGGTTTGTATTAACATGTTTTTCCCTGGCAGGATTCAAGGTTGTTTTGATGCTTTGGAGAGGCAGTATGTAAGTTTTTTCACATTTTTTAATGGAGTTTCCTATCTCTTCATGAAGTATGGACAAAACTATCCTTCCATTCCTGCTTTATATTTTTGTAGTGATCTTGCGTGCACACAATGCACATTTACAGCTGTGGGACAGGGGGAAGACCCTGCCCCAAGTATATACATGAGAGATTCGGGATTTTATTCCTTTATTGACTGCTGTTGCTCTCTAGGCTTCCCTGTACATGGTGTGTGAACTAATTTGCAGCCTGAAATGGATTTCCCTTAGATCCGTGTTCTACATTTATGTTCTCTAAGGTCTGGTTAGAGACACTGCCACTCAGAACTGAGATTTTGCTCTCCATGCCTGTTTTCTTGAGAGGTTCTATGCGTCTGTTTTCCTTCATCTCCTTTCCCCTAGTCTTTTCCTTTCTCATCGTCTCTAACCCTCTTGGCTTTTCCTCTTGGGTTCAGAATTCATTATGTTTTTTTGGAAAGTAATTAATCAAGTAAGGCATATAACTGGTTCCAGGACAAAATCAGCTAGTAAGTAATCATATTCCTTGCTGATTCTCACATAAAAACTGCTCTGCACAGGAAAAAGCACTAACTGTTGTCATCGCTGTCAGCACTGTTCATCAAACCAGCTCTCATCTAGATCAGATGAAGTGGTGTTAGTTTCAGCACTGATGATCAGATGGACTCTTATACATCAGTACAACTGTCAGTGTGCATAAGATAATTCAAAATGTTGTGAACTCTGTTGCTTACTGAGAGTTCTAGGAGGTATTTAGTCCTCTGCTATGTATGAGAGACATAAATTGTTTGTTATCTGCCAAGGATTAAGGAAAAAACAGGTATTTAATGCATATTCTAGGATTGTTTTCAAGAGTAGTCCAATGTACATTTTCTTGCTACAGCATAAATTAAATACCTTTTGGGGGTTTTCGTAGCAGAGAGCAAATATTAATCTTCAGTAGGGATGGGTGCTCTTGTAAGAGAGCTTTAAATCAGCATAGCCTTTGGAGATTTGTTTAGAAGGAGGCCCAGGAGAGAAGTCTGAGCATGCAGTTGTTTTCTTGGGAAACTGCAAATAAAGCCAAGCAAACTGGCCACTAGGTGTTGCTGATGCTGTGCTATGAAGAATCTGCATAAAAGTTTTTAACTCCTAGTTTGTTGAATGTATTTATTCCTTCACTGTATGTAGGCAGTTAGCTTTTGATAAGTCTGTCTTTTCCTTGCCCACTAAGGTTAGATTTTGATTTTGTGTTTTGTTTTGGTTTTCCCTCTGTAGTTACACATTGCTGTCCTCGCAGTAAGTAAACAAATACAAGTTGGTTTTCTTCCCCCCCCCCCCGCTTGAATGAGATACAGAGTCAAGGTTGTGTCAACCCACTTGTGCCTTTTTTAAGGGGAAGTCAAAATGTATGTGGTTTTTAATAGAGTGGTGACCTTTCTTAAATACGAACTTCCTAGGCTGTGTGGGAATATTTTTCTCAGTATGTCAGACTTCTGGCTGAGGCCTTACATGCATCCTTAAACTCCTAGAAGCGCTTTCGTGTGCTTCATATCATTGCTTCCTTTAAACTCTTGCCTCCCCCCTTGGAAGCTGCTGTGTCTTCTCCATTTTCCCCTCCAGAAGAGTTCTCATTAATCTGATCCTGAAGAAACCACACACTGGCTATTACATAGCAGTTTGCCCTGGTCCTTTGTAAAGCACCAAGTGCTATGCTATGCATCTATTCTGTGTATAATCTGAGTAGTTAAATCTCAGGCATCCTTAGTTGCCTGTGAGGGTTGGAATGGGAATTAACTTCATTCCTCCACAATTACACAGATGAGTGTCTTCTACCTGTCTTTGAAGTGGTAAGTGTTGGCTGCTGATAGAGGAGGGCAGTTTCTCAGCCATTCCTTTCTCTAATCCCACGCTAAAGATAGAACAATCTCTGCTGTAAAATGAAAATACCACTGTTTAGTCGCTTTTCACTGGTTCAATCCATCCAAGGGGAGAATGCCCTCACTGTGCTTTCTTATAACAGATTTACACCAATCCCAAGGAACCGGAGGTAAGAAAGAGTCTTAATTAATCTTTGAGGCAACTGAAGGCATGGGTGAGTAGATTTGTATTCAGAGTGGACTTGTAGGCTTAAATTCTGCCCTGACATAGCTGCTTGGTGACCCTGTTTCTCTTCTTCTGCCTTCACTCAAGAATGACAGCTCAGTGAGCTGGATTGTGATCAAACCCTCCTACCAGGCACTAGGCTGTGGGCCCATCTAGGGCCTCAGGCAGGGATGTTAACAGGCAACTAATGGGCACGTTTGCAATTTTGTTTTTCTTTCTCAAAGAGAAGAAATGGGGAGTTCAAAATAATTCTTTTACAAACCATCTTTTTAACAGCAGCGTTGAAAAGAGAGCTGTTCTTCATGCAGAGATATTTAGGACAGAAGTTAGGAATCACTTCAGGCCTGGGCTATACATGTTGTGTAGTGCCTGTCCTTATCCTTTCAGTGTTCTCTGTTGTGTTTCTGTTTTGTTTGCATCAAGCTGGTAGAGACAGACTGGGTAGTGTGATGGATGAGAGAGGTTCTGCATCCATGCTGTCCCCGCAGAGCTGGGGAGAGAGCAAGAGTTTAGTTCATACCAAAGCTGGGGTTTGTAAGGAAGGCTCAGAGTTAAGGGCTCAGCTCAGCTCCTACTAATTGACCTCATTGCCTCTGGAAAAACTGAATTATAGGCATGGAATTGGACTACAATAGAGCCTTTCTCTGTGGTGAAGTAGTCTGTTCTTCCTAATTATTTTATTCTCTAAAATCATAGCAAATAATTTCCTTTTAGATGGAAAATCATCTAGTTTTTTTATTGCCTTCAGAAAACTCTGGGGCCTGTGAAATTCAGCAACTTTTGCCCATGCAGCACTGTTTGTATTTACAAGCAGGAAGGGTCCTTCAGGCTCTTGTCTCTGTACAGAACTCTGGGCCAGGCTTCCTTGTGACACTGCATCACCCATGCAGCCTCACATTTTTCCTTTTAATAAGGGAGAACATATGTACGTTGTGATGGTTGGCTGGCCCCGGTGCTTCGTTAGAGATTTAGGCTGAGGAGTCAGGCCAACAGAGGAAGTGGAAGGAGGAAGCAGGAAGTTTGTAATTTTTTGTGATTCTTTCAGAGCTAGGTAAGCTGTGGTTGTTGAGAAAATTTGCCAAAGCCTGTGCAAGCAATAATAGAGTTAAAGCTGTCATTGTACCATTAAAATAATGTGTTCTGGCATAAAGCTGTGAAAGGACACTGCTAGGTTCAGTATGCATCCTTGAACTTGTTACTGGAAGAGACCCATTTCTTCTTTTCCCCTCTCTTGTTAAATCTCTAGACGGTGACTGAACTGTATCAATTCAAATTCAAGTACAAAAAGGAGGTGCCCCAGATGGACATCATCAGGTAATGATTTGGTTTTATTTCCCAGAATGACACTGAAAACTGTGTTCTTGAAGCATTAAGAAGAGAGTGCACTTTATGATTAGAGCATGTCTGAGTCGCTAAGCAGCTGTAAATATCATCAGAGTTGAGGATAGTCACGGTACAGGATATGAACTGCTGAGCTGATGAGCAGAAATGCTGTCACGTAGCGCAGTGAGGCACTTAAAGTGCACCCGAACTGAATTAAGGACAATTTATAGAAATGGTGCCTAATCAGGGCAGCAGTGCAGAAACCGACACCGTTGTTGAGCTTGCTGCTCTCTCAGCTAGTAACGAGTGTTCTTCCACTTTCACAAGAGAGCCTTGTGCTTTCAAATTAAGCTTTTTCGGGTTTGATCCCTTTCACCATGTTGCTGCACCCAGGACTTTTTTTCCTTGGGCATTTGCATACGTGTATTCTGCTTGGGCAATCTTGTGTGGGTGACCTCAGAAAACTTTTGCTTGTGATGCCTGAGTTGATGCTGCAAAACGTGTGGCAGGAAGCAGCAGCTTTTTGCATCTTTTTGGCTCTCTCCATCTGTTAGATATTTTAAATCTGTGTTTAGTAGGCCATAATCCTGTGTAGTTTAAAATAAATACTGTCAAGGGCCGTTGGCTATTACCAAAGCAAAGAAAAATAATTAACCCAGTTTTAGTGTGCTTCTGCAGTTGCCATTGATGAAAGATGGATCTTTGGGCCTTGGAACGTGCCTGTACAGCAAGAGATCTCTGCTGCCTCATATGCTTCTTAGGAAACTCCTCCACAAAGCTCCTGTCGTGTGACATTTGCTGCTCTAAACACATCCAAATAATTTGTAGTATGCAGCAAAATGATTCTCTGTTGGGAAAATCTGAACTACATCTGAGTGTAGAGTGTCCTGTTGACTGTACCTTCTGTTTCTGCTTTGAAGCTGCTGTCAGTTGTCCTCACTATACTGAGGGGAAGAGGAGACTTTTGGGATTTGAAAGATAATAGATGGCTCATGAGTACTTTGATTTTTTAAATCAGCCTTAGTCAGATCAGTCATTAGTTCCTAGAAATAACGGCAGTCCCCAGATGGAACTCAGCATCCCTTGGTGTCCATCACGCTGGCCGCGGAGAGGCTCGTAATCTTGCTGTTGTGTTTCTATTGCTCCATCGAAATCTCATTACTGTTCCAAGGCTTCAAAGCCCGTGGCATCGAATTCCTGGGCTCTGTTCTGTTTCCTCAGTGACTGACACTGCTATTGCAGGATCATGCGTGTACCTGCAGTCATTAGCAAACTGATGTTCTGGCATTGATCGGAGTATTGTGTCATCTTTTCTATCAGCTCCTTCAGCTGATAACACTGCTTTTATACACCTGCAGTGTTTATTGTCATGTGCAAACTCTGAGCTAATCATTCCGGGAGAGATGTTTTGTGGGGCTGCATCATTTTATCTGTGGGGTAAGGGGAAACTTTCTCCTAAATGGTTTCTGCCTTATTTTGGATGGATTTTGGAGGAATTCCTTCCCATGGATCCCAGTCCTTCAGAGAGGTTCCGTTCCTCAGCTTCTACCTTTTGACACATGCCTGCGTCAAATCCACAATGTTATTCCCATATTGAACCAATACTTGACCTGTTAATACCTATGGAAGACTCGTCTCTTTTTGCTTATACTCTTTCCCCTTACCATTTCTATTCTGCTAATCCCAAGAGTTGTAAAGGTGACATGTCAGAGAAGGCCTGCCTTCTTTTTACTCTACCTTAGGCAATGCCAGCATTTGCCCTCTCACTTGATGTACATTTTTGAACATACAGGATTTAATCTAATAGCACAGTGTGCTCATCACAGAGTCTTCCTGTTGGCAGTTTGGAGTCTACCAAACCATACTCAGCGTACCCTGGGAAGTCAAGCTGTTCAACAGCTGCTCTGTTTTCATGACAAGCCAAGAAGCTTCAACTGGAAGGGGAAATCAGTTTTAATGACTCTGTTCCTTCAGTTTAGTTAGTCAAATTCAGCCCTGGGGCTCTCTCTGCTCCTAGGTCACGTACTGCTTTTGAAGCAATTGGGATGACTGTGTTAGGGACCATCCAGCTTGTATATAGTGTCATCCACCTGCCAGTGGTCTTCCACAGACATAATGAAGGACCTACTTTTTTTTTTTTTTGTCCTGGCCCCTTCTCATTGAAAGTTAAGGAAGTTTAGATTCCTTAGTCACATAGTGATTCATCTAGTCCATCTTCTACTGTCTAAAGTTAGCTGGCTGATCTAAGTTGCTCATCTCATCTACCTCTGTAGTCAAGAGAAACAAACTCCTCCGGAGGGCGATTCATCCCACTCCTGTTAGACGTTTATCTCGGTCTAGACTGCTTGCTTAGACTAGCCAGCTGACATTTGGATGGGTGAAGGAGGTGAGAGGAATGCCCCTTAGTCACTTCTGAAAAATGTGCTTCTGAGCTACTTTTTCTTACATGGAATTGAAGTGAGAACATGCAATTCACTTCTCTTCAAACTGCAAAATGGACTTGAAAATAGCCCCTGTGATGAATCGGCTTTATATGGGATTCTCACCTCATTCTTCTCATTCCTGAAATTGCTTAGGTGAAAGGCACTTGTTTTATGGTTCTTTGATCCAATTTAATCATGTTCAAACAAGTGAGTCATGACATTTGAATAATGGGGTCCAGTGCCCCAGCTACAAAGTCTGTTCAGATGTAAATGCATGCCTCTTAGTTTAGAGCTGTTGTTTTGCTGATGCCACCCCATCCCTGGAGTCTGTTTCACTTCCCTGTTTATCTGGAAATTACATAAAGGCATTGTAGCTTTGTCACTGGTGGTTTCAGAGGAGTCAGTGGGTGCTCTGTATTTGTAATTAGATCGTGAATATTCATGACAGAGGAAAACAAATCTGTTATTCTTCTTCTGATTGTAGCAACCAAATGAACTTTGTGAATGGGGTGTGCAGCGAGGATGTAAAACAGGCCAGCAGGCTCCTGATCCGTAAACTCTACCTGTTAATGCAAAACCTTGGGCCACTTCCCAGTGACATTACCCTGACCATGAAACTCCTCTACTACAATGACGGTAGGTGGGGAACAGTGTGTGCTGTGGGGAAAAATTCCCTTTCCATCAGTTTCTATAATAATCATGAGCCCCTGTAAAGTAAATAAAGCGTAGAAAGGTGAATTGGTAGAAGCTGTTAGCCGATAGCAGTGAGAATTGGTGTGAAGCATAGTAGAGCCTTCTGACACACAGGGATGGCAGATGCTTTTTGAGAAGGGTTTGAACATCCACGTAAGAAGTACAGCCATACAGTGTGAAAAGGAGACATCCTTCTCCTTCACTGTTGGTTTTTGGTTTTGTTTTTTTAAGGAACAGGCAATGTCAGGTTCTGCTCCAGAAAGTTGAGCATGTTAATGGTATCTCAGCATTGTAAAGTCATTCTTTCTTTGAGCTCCCTGATAACATTTGCTCAGCTCATTTTTTCCTTTGCATTCTCTCCCTTCTTCCTGAAAGAAAACCCAGAATATTTTTAGTAGTTGATGTTGTTACTCGAGGCTAGTACACACTTGTTCTTTATAAATCAGATTAAGGAGACATGGAACTTGATTACTCTGACATCAGTGAGTTCCTTCTTCCTGTGCAGTAACTCCCAAAGATTACCAGCCCCCTGGCTTTAAGGAAGATGGCAGCCCTGGTGACCTGTTTTTTGATGGCGATCCTGTCAACGTGAGAGTAGGGTCAGTCTCCACCAGCTTCCACGTCATGAAAATGAGAGTGACAACTGAAAAAAAAAGAATGGGAACAGTTGAGAGCAACCTGATCCAGAAGAATGGCCCTACTGAGATCTCCCATCAAGGATTAGACTGTGATGAAGAGGAAGAGGAGGGGAGCACAAAGGTATAGAAATAGCTCTGTTCAGTTCTCGCTGGAGGAACAGAGTTTATCTAGCAAAACTATCCTTAAACATTTTCTTAGATTCCTAGTTTAATAAGGGTTTCAGCTTGTGTTGGGCAGCAGGGCTACAGCAGATTGAACGCTGAGGCTGGAAGTCCATAGACATAAAGTGAATTTCATTCCAGCATATCCACTGATTTACTGAGTCTAGTGTGATCTCCCAGAAGAGGGCAGTGACTGTACAGAGAGGCGTAACACATGTGTGTGCACACACACACTTATACACAGACACGCACAAAATGGAGAAAATTGCAGTTTTGCATTTCCACTTGGCATTTCTCAGGACTAAGCCATGTTCCACTGTGTAGTTACGTGGGATCCCTCCCACTTAATTCTAGCCATCTAAAAGTTGTGTCTAATTTCTCTAGGCCCCCCCTCTGCGCGTAGTAGAGGAGGAGGCAGCTTTAGCGGGTAATTCAGATAATTTCCTTAGACACCAGAGTAGGCTGGAATGAATGGTCCTCTGGCGGTGCCTCTCTCCGAAATGACAGAAGGGGCAGCCTGGACTGGTAGCTCGGGCTTGACAATTTAATTTGAGATGTTCACATTTAATTTGAACAATTAACTTGACAATTTAATTTGAAGTGATGGAACACAACTAACTCCTGAAGATAGGAAGCCATTTAGGTCACAATTCCATCTTTTCTTAGAAAATTTCTCTCTTGAAAGACCTGTGGGCTTGGAAGAAGGAAGGCCTGGACACTGAGTAGCTGTGAAAATCTCATCCCGATTAGTGATGGGTTTATGGATTTACCCCCTGGCATATTTTTTAGGTTATGCTGTTAAGAGGAAACATCATTTGCTTTACAGAATCAACCTCTCCCTGTCAGAGCAGATTCAAGTGGGTGTGAAGAGAACAAAAGCGACACCCATCCAGGCAGGAAAACACCTTCTTTTTACCTTCAAGATACAGGTAAACTTCCAGTTTCAAAACTGAAGGAACTTGTGCTCATGACTGTATCCTAGCATAGTATTTAGGTTTTTTTACTTACTTTGAAATGGATGAACAGTTTGTCAGGCTGTTTGAATTTTGTGTCAGATGAGATTGAATTTATAATAAAGGGCTTCTTGTATATGCTTGGTTTGTTAACAGAAACATTCAATTTTTTATCAATATCTTTCAACCTCTTTATCTCAGCAGTCTTTTTCAGATATGGAGGAAATGCACAGTTCATCAATACTGAGTTACATTATCTACATTTTCACCAAAGCTCTTCTCCTCTAGCAGTTACAGTTTGATTTTGCTAATGACTTACCTATGTGAAAATACATGAAAAAAAGCCTTTTCTCTCACTTCAATCAACTTGTCTTCTGATACACCATGCTCTATTTGACCTTTGAGGCTCTCAGATATAGCCTGTGGAACAATACCATCTAGTGACAAAATGGTAAATAGCATTCCTGAGATCCCCAGGCAGTGGAATAAAGAAGCTTATCTGCCTGTGAAGTCACCTTTTCAGGTCTTTCTCCTGCAGATTCTTCGATGACTAATAAGGGGTGAACTCATACTGCCACCTTTTCCACTCTGGGGATATTAACAGGATTTTCCCCCTCTAACCAGTTGCCTGTTTTCATGAAACTGAGGCACCTTGGGACCCCCCCATCAAATTTTATTGAAACTGTCTAATAAGGTCAAGAGTTAGTCAGGGGACAGCCCCTCTCCTTCCACATACACACACACACTTGGACAGAGCATATGCAAGCATAAGCTTTGTTTTCTTAGAAACCACATTAAAATGGAGTTTAAGTGTAATTGATAGGAGCTGCTGCAAGTTGCTGTGTTGCACATTCAGATGACACTTTATTCTGAAATCTCCATTTTCAGGAATAAACTGCCAGTGTTAGCGGTGCCTGAGAGAAAAGGTTACACAATTTCAGATCAGGCATGGGATTTTGCTACAGTGGTTTAGTTGGGTTTCTGGATGTTTCTTTCAATTAAATATAGGGTTTTAACTTTGGAGCTAATTTTGATTTTGGATTGTAGGTGAAAAGAAGACTACGGGAATAAAGGAGATGGGCAGGATGACTTGCTCAAGGGCATCTCAGCAGGTGAGGAAAGTTTAGTGGCTCTGAGATACACCAGGCAAGGTGGAATTGATTGCCACAGAACATGTCATCTAGGATGGCACAAGATTCAACTAACATTAGCAGCTTTATCATGCAGTATCAAAATACAGAGCGGCTACAAGGTATTAGGGCATAGGGATATAAGCATGAACTGGAAGCATTTAGGAAGAAACTTTCCCCGGTCATCTTACTTCATACATCCAGTACAAGAATTTTGTACTGTTCTCTGGAGTTGGCACTTGTGAATGACACATGTAGCCTAAATGTATCTGTGTCCCGACCGGGCTGGTTTACCTGTGTGTGTTTTCGGATTAAGGTTCTGAAATCGCCACCCTGGTTTAGGTTTGAAGGGTGTGTTTGTTGCCTAACATGGTCTTCACTTCTCCTTTCTTGCTTCCAGACTGTCTTTACATGTGAGTCACAGGTACTTACTGGATCCTATCCCTTTTTGGCTACCTCTCTAGGATAGGAAGAATTATCCCCTGGAGGTGCTGATCTCTTTTTCAGTGGTTGTTGGGGCAACCCAAAGAACTAAGGTAGACCAGACGTAATTTTAGATAAGTAAGTTATGTGAAATTAATTCCATCCTGAAGGCTGCCTAGGCCAAACCCTGAGTCAGAATCAAGAGCTGAGATTCATGGGGCTTGGGCAGAGGTTTTTTCAGTGACAGGGCAAATCTCTGAATACCACCAGACGTGCCACTTGGTCCTCCTCCCATTCAAATCAGTTGAAAGTTGTATGAGTTTGAATGTTGAGAAACTGAATCTTTACAGGGTAAGTTAATGAGAGTAGGAAATTGCTACTAAAATTTTCCCCGCCTCTGTTGAAAAGAATCCCGGGGTGTCTAACCCAGACAGCAACTGGAGACTACAACTTAACGTGTCATTCAAAAGGCATCTGTGAAGTATTTGCCTTGACTGTGGATCTTAGAAATGAACTTCTGTGCCTAGGCTGGTATTTTTCAAACTTTAACCACATTTTTTTTTGTGTCACATCCTCCAGTTTCCTTCTGATCATTGTTTATTCTGTCGTCTGTGTGAAAACAGGAGCCTTTTTTGTTTGTAACTCATGGTTGTCCCACTGATTCATGCTCTGACATTCTCTCGGGTCTGTCACGATTGTGAGCAGAGCACCAGACACCTCTCTCTTGTAGCATGTGAATTTCATTAGAATATGGTAGCAATAGTGAGAGTGTCTGAAGGTGGTGGAAACAGCATTAGTTGCTGAAAAATGGAAGAGTCATTTTATCCATTGTATGTTTCCAAAGACTTAAAAAAAAGAAAAATATCCCAAGCCCTCTGCCTGGTAGATTCTGCATGGCAGAGGATTTTTTTAATGTATTCTTTGATACTATTTTTGAAACCATTATCGCTTAGAAGTTGTCTAATATTTCAGTCGGTTTAGGGAAAAACAAAGTCAAGTCACTAGTTAAAAAGTGCAGATCATCATTGTAAAGCCAGCACTAATAAAAATTTGACGCTATTTTCCATATGAGAGGGACTTTCCCTTCTTTTCTGAGGGAAGTGGTTAAAACAAATGACCATTGTCTATTCCACTTGAATCAGGAAGCCAAACTGGTGAGTGAAGTTTGTGTTAAAAAATGAGGACAAGCTTGCGTGGATGGGAAGTCTGAGTTCGGTATTATCTGACAGGGTCAAGTATAGGTAAGGTGGGTAGAAGTAGTCCTGCTGGGGTATGAATGCAAACACCTTGTTGCTATCCAGACTACAGTGCAGTCAAGCAATAGTGTTTTCCAGCTGCCAGGTGTGTTCAGAGAAGCTCTCTGCTTTAAAGAGCTGGAAGGTCTCCGAAGTGACATGTTTTCTCCTGGATTTCAGAGTTCAATTAGCCTGGTGTTGGAGGGGGGGGACTTGGGGAAGAGCATAGCCTGGGCCATGGAGATCTCCCTTTATTGGGGCAGGCATGAGCCCTTAGACTTGCAGTGCTGGTGTGTGACTTTGCGTGTTAGGTTTCTACCAGGAGCAGATCTCCTCGAACTAGCTTACAGAATGATTGCTCGCGTACCAGCAGGACCGTAAAGGAGCGAGCAAGACTGGGTGGCGAGGAATGGGCAAAGCGGGTCTGGGAGGGAGACCTGCCCTTCTCCTGGCAGAGCAGCGTTAGCTCTTCAGCTGTTCCTGGGGCAGCACCTCAGGAACTTGGGTTTAAAGGTGCTCTCTGTACAGTTAAACATTCAGGCCAAGATTTTCCGAACTAACTGAAACAATTTCGAGCGGCCCAGAGTTTGATATCTGTACAAGGATTTGATATTCAAGAAGTGCCAAGTTCAAAAATGGTACCTACAGTCATAAGTTGCTTTTGGAAATATGAATGAGCCCATTACTGCTCTTCATCTGAAGTGAACTGCTTTATTCCTTCTGATTCCTCGGTTATCAAAAATAAAAACCATGCTGTTGGAACCGAGTTTACTGGTTGTTATCTTCCTGACCTATAGCTCTTCAGGAAAACCAGGAATGAAAGTATTAAAGGCTTATTTTTATCTAATCGACATGGGAGAGGCAAAGGATGCAGATCTGCCAAAAGAGAAGCAGCTATTCCTGTCCAGTTAGAACTGTAACTGGCCTTTAGTAATGGCCATGGAGAGTCTCTGACAGAGGGCTTTTCAGATTGGAGAAAAATTTACATGTACTCAACCGGCTTGTTATCTGCAATCTCATGATTGATGATACTTAGGATCAAATGAGAGATTGCCCTTTCCCAGCAAAGCATCTCTGTACTTAATCATCCAGAGTTAGACACCAGCATGTAAATTAGCCTACCTCTGCTGACTTCAGGAGGGTTTTTCTGATTGCATCAGCCAAGGATTTGGCCCAGTGTGCTATCTTTATGCATCTTGCTACTTTCCACTGGCATTCTAGGAGTTGTGAAGAGTTGGGTGAAATAGGGATTTGCTGCCCATTGGTTTAACATATAGAAATCATTTGATGGGAATGGGGTCCTGCACTGAAATGAAGATAACTTTTTGAATTCTTCAGCATACCTCTTTATCCTCTTGTGAATTCTTTAATGTTCTTGGCCTGCAAATTGATTTTGGGCAGCTTTGTCTTCATGTGAGCAAACATGTTGCAGTGGAATGAGATTGGAATGAAACAGAACTCGAAGATGAGTAAAATCTGACCCTGTGGACGCCTCTGCAGGCTTTTATCTCCCATCAGGAAGCTGTGGGCTGAAGTTCTGGGGTGGTCCTTAGAGCACAGTCTCACTGCACAGTGAAGCAGCCGTGCAGAGAGCCCTGAATCGTCCCTGACCGAGCCCGCGCCAGAGCTGGAACTGGTGTGGCCGTATCAGCACAGCACAAGTCAGCTCTGCCTCCCAAGGGTCTGGCTTCATTCGCTAGCACCAGACACGGCTTGTGCTGCTAGACTGGCCGTGCTTATGCTGCTAGACTGCTGTGGGACATGAGGAGGTGTACTGACCCTTGGCATTGTGTGGACATACCAGTTTGGGTCAGTGATAGCTCAGGGATCTCTGCACTGCGATTCAGTGCCTGCTGTAGGCCTACTCCTGCCATGCGGATTAGCTCTCTTAACTGGAGCTGTCTGAAAATTGGATGTCTAGGGAGAGATTCAGACTTAAATGTTGTAAATCAGTGCTGTTTTAAACCTCAGAGGATAGCCTGTCTGGCTTCCAGCTGCTGCTCCTCATGCAGAAGGCTTGGCTACCTGGCCACGTCTTCTCTCTCTGAGGGACTGTGGCAGCGGTGGAAGCCGGTCTGAACACAGTGTTTCATGGATGATGCACTGTGAGTAATAGCTGTTGTGTTTGCTGGTGATCAGTGTCCTGTTGGTGCCCAGGGCCATGGTTACCCTGATGGAGATTCTTGTGCTTTTGCTGAGCTTCCGTGTTGTACACAGCTTCTGTCTGAAAGTGAAGGTCAGCACAAGTGGATCAGTTGCAGAGTAACAGCTTGGAGATCAAGACCTTTGTTGTCTGATTTTTCCCAGGCAAACCACTTTTAAAATTGCCATGACAGAAAGCAGTTGAAGGGTGAAGCCTGCCATTTGCAGAGCAATAGAAAAGCATTTTTCTGTGGCAATGTCATTATCTTGAACTTTTGCAGAAAAGAAAAAAAAAGAAAGGTTTATCTCTAACTGTCTATCAAGAGAGCTGTATCTGATGAGAAGTTCCCAGAACATTTTCTCCTCCAAACCAGCAAACCAGCTGAGGCTATGCAGACCCAAACAATGAAGAGAGAAAGATTCAGAGATGAGCTTGCCTCTCTCCTTCCTGTGAGCTCAGGCCATTCTGGGAGGAGTGAGACAGGGAGGCCAGGAAATTCCTGGCTTCTCTCAATTCACGTCAGATCCTTAGCTGTATCTTGGGGCCATTCATCCCTTGCATGAGTTATCCCAGTCTAGTGTGCAGGAAACGGTTTCCTAGTGATCTCCTCATTCAGAGGTGAGGCCCATCACCCCACAGATTCGGGGGGATTTAACCCTTGCAGCCTCAGAGTCTCTGGCAGCTGCCCCAGAGACATCCACGGGAAGACATGGAGCTTCTGTGCTGGCCGCCTTTACGTGTGTTCGTAACGTACATGATAGCAACCAGACCCTCTAAAGAAATCTGCAGAAATTAAGGTTGGACAGGTCCAATATCCCAGGAGGTACTAAGCTGGGTAGCAAGCCTAGTAGGCAGAAGGAGTGTCCATTGCTTTTCTCCTCCTTGGTTACAATGCTGTAATCTTATGGGGAAGGCTTCTGGGTTTCGGAGGCATATTGCACTGGGATCTGGCAATCAGTGGTCAGCACGCCAGTGTACAGTGTGACTTTGGGCCCTGGAGGAGATTATAGGGAGAGGGATTGATAAATATTTTTTTCAACAGGTATTTTTGAAGAGTTTTTTTACCCTCTGGAAAAATCTGTTCATAAGTCCTTTAAATACTACAAGATACGTAAGGTACAGAGTAGTACTGTGAGACTTCCAGTTCACGAAAAGGAAATTGCATTGAATGTCAGAGATTTTAACAGTGAGCTATGGAAAAGGAAGAGGACTAGTGGTAGTCAGTGATGTGTTGGCATGGCTTCCTGGGGACAAAAATGTGGCAAGTTTCCACAGAAGCACCACAGTGAGTGTCTTTCATTCTTCCACCTGCGTAAATTGGCTTTCATGCTAACCAGCATGATTCTCCTCCACTTGTAGGATGTCAGTGCGATCGCTTTACTGGAAACTGATACGAGACCAGTGGTGTGCTCTGCACCAAGCGTTTAACCCCTGTGCTGCCTTCACAGAGTCACTGAGATCAGAAGGGACAATCGGAGATCGTCATGTCCGACCTACCTGCTCAAAACATGGTGAAGTGGAGCAGGTTTCTCAGGACCTTGTCCAGGCAGGTGTTGAGTATCTCCAAGGATAGAGGCTTCACAACCTCCCTGGACAACTCGTGCCAGTATTTGATTGCCCTCACAGTAAAAAAAAAAACAAACAACAAACTGTCCTTATGTTTAAATGGAATTTCCTGCATTTCACTTTATCTGTTTCTTCTTGTCGTTTCACTGGACACTATGAGGTACCTTGTGAACCTCGATTTTTGCTGTGCTTGGAGAGCACGGAGCATCCAACTGTCAGTGAGTAGATGGAAATTATTGCCTTCAACCAGAGAGAAATGGCCGTTCACCAGGGATGTCTTAGGGGATCAATTTAAAGAGTCACTGGCTTGGTTTTTGAGGGTGGCAAGCGTTTGCTATCAAGTCAATGTTAGCTGCAGCTGACATCACAGGATACATCAGTCACTGGCTCTCTCTGATTAAAGTTTCCTGACGATGATAGACATCCCCCTGCAGATACTGTTTATTGCCTTGACACCTGAGAATCATTTTGTCTGATTTCAGCAGTTAAGTCTTGTATCTCGGTCCTTTTTCTTCTAGCTCACTTGATGGAACTGGATTTCTTTTGACATTAATGTGCTTCTGAATTTGTCAGGGTAGTTACAAGGTACCAAACTAAACACTCTGTGTCCCTGACAAAGGGAACTCTTCTGAGGGCATAAAATTTGCCATGTGCCAAACCTCAGCATGGGGCAGGCCAGGGACAAAGAGGGACACAGCCGAATGCTCTTGTGCAATTTTAGCTTTTCTACATAGGATGCCTTGGGAAGAAAAACACATGTCAGAAGAGCTGTAAATTTTCTTCGATTTATGCTGGGAAATTTTGTCTGGAATAAGTGGGGACACTGGGGATTGAAAACTGCAGAGCACAAAACTAGGTCCTGATTTTGTCTATCTAAGAATAGCAGTGTAGCTGTGGTCTGCTCATTCTGTTTCATCCACCAGTCTGCCTTGGGAAGGCTTTAATCTAAGTCTAATCTATTTTTAGCCTGATATCTTCTCCAGACAATGTGCAGCTGTCCTGTTAGTTTTATGCCAGAAATTAGTAACACTTGTATGATTCACAAGTTAGCTGTATTTTTACAGAAAAATTGTGGCAACATATTACTTTTTTTTCCACGTAGTGCAGTATTGTAAAACAGGAGATTCAAATTCACTGTGTGTTCATGGTATGACTTAGACCCAGAACTGTGCCTTGGACTCAGAGTCGGGAGGTCACGGAGCTGTTCCTGGTTTTGATACTTGCTCTGGACTTGTCCCACCTGTCCTGTTGTCAGCACGGTCCCTTCGCAGGGGAAGCGTGTGAGGGCCTGCGCTGTGCCCTATGTGCTTTGAGAGCACCTGGCTCGTCAGTGGAGCCGAGGGCCAGGAGTGGTTGTGTAAGACAAAAACCCAACATTCATACAGTGCAAGCTCTCCCATTAGTTATTCTAAGTCAAGCGTCCCAGTACATGGGAAAAATCAGAATTAATCAACTTCTGGAGGCTTTGATTGTATGTTTAGTCAATGGGAGGGATTTCCTGCTTTTCACCACACCGTTTAAAAGGTTTACTTTCTGGTTATAGTCAAATAAACACACGTAGGATCTGACTTAATCCCATTTAGAGCAGCTTTTCTGGGGAAGAAGTTTGAGTGTTTGGTTAAGGATGGGACCTGGAAGTTGGACTTGGGGTCTGTTCCTGGCTCTGAGTTCCTACGTGAACTTGTAGCTGGGCAGGGGCAGGACAGGACATGTTGGCTTCTGTGAAATACCTCACACAGTTGACATCTTATTCATTCAGTAGATGTGCTTGTCTAGGGCACTTGATGGCTTGCCTAGATGTTTTTACTCTTCTCATCTCAGGTTCCTGTTAGGTGATCATGCTGCCCATGGTAAAGGGCAGGAAAGCTTTCGGAGAGCTGCAGTGGACTCTGTGTGAGCAGCTGCTCGTTGTGGCTGTTTCTCCTGTCTCACAAGTATCGAGTCCCAAGAAATTTAGGAGGAATAGAAAAGGGGTAAAAACTTTACTGAGTAGTTGCCTGTGCTGCAGAAGATCCGTTCCTCAACAGAGGAAATAAAAGCACCAACTCTAGCTGATGCTTTCTTTATGTGGTTTAGGCTAAAATAGAAGGAGAGGTGCCTTATTCAGGTGACTGGGGCCCGGGAGACTGGGGATCATGGCTTTGCTTTATTGTGTGGCCAGCAGGACAGGGTACAAACCCTGCAGCTGTGTTAGCACTGGAGAGCTTTTGGATGCAGTGTTTCCCCCCTCTGGGCCTTTTACTTCAAAAAAGGAAGCAGACAGGTTAAAACGATGCCAGGGAGAGGAAAGTAAACAACTGCCTGAAATGCCAGTTTGAGCAGCTGGATATCAGGTCAGGAGCTGTAACACAGAGATCCACTCATCACTCTTTCCTCAAGCAAATATGCCTTGGGCAGTGTTGGAAGTTTTGTCAGCTCGAGTGTGCAGGATGAAGGAGAACCTGCCTGTCCCACTTTGGCAGATTCTTGTTTTCTCCGTTTTTATGGAAAGGAAATTGTACTTTCTGCATTAAGCAATATTGTGTTGCTCATAATGAAGAGGAGGGAAGAGGGGAGGAAAAACAATTTGAAACATGATAGGCAAAATGAGGTTGTTTGAAACTATTTTGCTGTTAATCCACAATCAGAGTTATTTCACACATTAGAAACACCATTGCTATGTAGAGATTACTGAAGCCTCATACCAAGGCCAGATAGAAAGAAAGCCTTGATGACGTGAGTGGGGAATTCTATAATGACCGCATTTTGTAATCGGGAGACCTGGTGCTTGTCTCCAGGATGCATTCTGGAATAGCTCTTTATTAACTCCTTGTGTTTATCCTGCTTCAGTTGTGGGATTCCTCATGTTTTACAGTAGAACTGGAGCGAGGTACTTCTGTTTTGGGGCAGGAACTCAGCACTCTTTTCCCTTTTCATTCACCTTACTTTCATCCAAATGAACCTTCTTTTGGAGGCAAAGTTTTAGCGGTGTGCTGTGGCCTGTCCCTTCAGCTCAGTTCCAGTGAGAGCAAGAGAGGTTACATTGCCAGACTGTGCGCTTTGTCCCTTCTGGGTGGGCAAAAACACACGTTACTCTCTGCAGCTCCAGATTATTATTGTAAAAATGCAAATATGTTATGTGATAACTAGAATAAGTCAGTTTGTCACTTGGCACAACCAACGCTTCAACTGTCGTTCTGGCTGTCCGTCTCTCTGTGATCAGTCTGAATTGCCTGTACCATTGACCCATTTATATTCTAACATATATTTATCTGTGTTTGTTAACCTTTTGGTTTGTAGGCCCCTGAATATTTTAAAGGGAGGTTTGTGTCTTTCTAGAGGGAAGTTAAGCCTCTTGGAAGAAAGCCTGCTTTGCTTAGTTATTTTTCACAGACTCACAGGTAGTCTTTGAGGTCTGGGATTGTCCAACTCACGTTGAAATTCCCTGATGTACAAATAGAGGTACTGCATGTTTCCCCCTGAAGGGCTGTTTCCAGTAACCACAAATTTGACATAAGTCCCCCTCTTCTTTTACGTACTTCTGTGATTATCTGAGGTTGGTGAAACGGGCTATGCCCTATAAACGATTCTATTTCTCAAAAGTCTCTGTGCTTCTGGTATTTTCTGTTGGTGCTGGGGAGATGTTACTGTTCCTTGTGCCTACCAAAACCGTTCTCTGTCCCTGAAGCTGAACCTGTCACCTTCACAAATCTTACAGTCCCAATTCCATCCGGTATTCCAGCTTTGATTCCTTGCCTAATTGCTTTTCTGGAGAGCAGGATCACACTGAACAAACCCAAAAGGATCCAGGAAAACACACTGTAGTTTTGGACGTTGTATTTCTTGACTCATCTAGCAGGAGCCTGTACCGTGAGAATGATCACTTTTTCTGATGGTTCTTACAGATAAGCTGCCTGACCCTTGCATTTAGCCAGGAAGAGGTAATAGGACCCAAGAAGAAAAGGAAGGTCAGTGAACCAGAGAAGCTGCTTCTGGAAGGCAGGAAATGATGTTAATTCTGACACACAATACATTTTGGAAGGTGTGAGTTTGCATTGTCATCTGACTAGTAAAGATCTTTACTGTCATCCAATATTTAACTCTTCCACATGCTGCATGTATTTCTGCATGTTTATTTGTCTAGTGAAAAGTTTGGGTTGTGAAGAGACACCAAGCACCATAGTTGTCATGACAGTGTTAACCAACAGCACTTGTTTGATGTTCTAAAGTTGAGAATTTATGTTTCCATGTGAATGGTGTCTGTGTGCTTCTTTCTGCCTGTCTCTCTCCCTTACACCCCTCCGCTACCACTGGCTAAACTTCTTCCTCCGTGGCTGGACTGTCCTTTGCCAATATGTCATCAATATTTAATGGCACAGTTTCAAGATGAACTCTGAGGCACCAATGCCAGCAAAAGCAACAAGTCTCATGAGTCACTAGATTGTGCTTAACTTCATCCTATCTACTGTTTCCGGAGCATAGATTTTTTTTTTCAAAGAAGGGTTTTTATCTATATTGAATACAGAGATAAAGTAATCTATACACATTTTCTTCTGGCGGTGAATTTTTTTTTCTGACTCTGCAAGTAGTGTTGCTATGACTATATTATCAGCTTATTTCTAAAACAGCAACCCACCATGTACCAAGGGGCTTAGACAGTTGTGCAATATAAATGGTGTTGCAATATACCACATTTAAAGCCTGACTTTAATAAAGGTACCTTGTGGTTGCAAGTACAGGTGAGGAGAACAACAGCAACAAAAGAAAAAAATTCTGTATCCCTTGGAGCAATAGCGCTGTGCTCTGTGTCATGTAAGATTGCCTGGCAGGCAATAGCTCTGCAAGACCTAATGGTTATTACTGGAGTGGGAGGAGTAAAATGGCCTTAATTGCTCTTGGACATTTTATAAAATATGTTCAAGGAGTAGCCTTTGCATTACTTTTTGTACAAGAGATGTACAGATGTTTTGTACAGATCTCTTTTGCAAAAGAGGTACTGAAATTTGAAAAACTAAAGAAGGGAATGTCGTGCACTTTCTTCCCAATGTAATGTTGGTTGCCTGAAATGTTCAAATGTTATGGTGGTGGGGAAATAAAAGCACTAGAGTGCAACAGAGTAATGCACCCGGTAGTGTAGCAGCATCCCTGACATTTCAGATAAGCAACAAAGGTATTTTTTCAGGACTGGTTTTGAAGAGCAGCAGTGGTTTTGGATGTAAGGTGTGTCTTTCACGGTGTATGTCAGACGGCTCTGTAAGAAGCAGTGAGGGTCTCTTGACAAGTATCTGACCCGTCGTGTCTAGAGCATCTGGTTGAAGGACCTTGGCCACCAGTGCCATCGCTTGGCACACCGGGTTCCCTATCGCCATTAATATGGTGACGTCTTCTGCTGTGGCAGTGCTTAAGGTTGGCTCCAGACATCAGGGGTCTTCCTCACTGCTGAAACTGGGATCTCGCCTTGACTCTAGATAAAAGCTACCAGGACACAGAGATTAATGCATCTCTCTTCTGCTTTTACTTTGGCCAGAAGGAGTTGAAAGCCCAACTGGAAGTGGCTGACTGAGTGGAGATAATGCTGAAACCGAATGTCCAGTCGACCTCCAGGTAGCTGAGTGCTGCACTGCAATCCTACTGCTGATACCACAGCTGTCCTTACTCGGCCCAGGGCAGGCAGGCCACTGACTGCCCCTGAGCCTGCAGCAGGGTCTGGCAGGTTTCATGGCTTGATGCCTATTTCACAACACTTGTAGAACATGAGAGTTCTCCATTTTATCCCCGCTTTCAGTCCTGTGTTCTCATTTTTGCACCTGTGGCCTAATAAGCCAGTTTGTTCACATGCCAGAGCAAAGCAGAAATCTTCCTTCTGCCCAGATTTTGTAATGATATTTGCTCTCACGCCTGCACATCTACAGGAGTCGTGTGTTCTTCACAGGACAGCTACAGCTCAGGACCTGCCTTGACCTGAAAGCTCTGCCCTGGCACTGCTGGGGTGTGTGGCTTCCATATTCCTTCAGCTCACGGACTCCTGCCTGCGCCCCAAACCTTGTCGTGTTGTTGTGTCGTGCGTGTAGGAGAAAGTCAAACATGTCTGTGATTATGGCTACCCCAACAAGCTAGCCCTTCTCCTGTCCGCATGATGCCACAGGGCTTAGGGGCATGCCAGCTTGCTCGGTGCACGCTGGAAGATGCTAAGTGTCTTGTCCCACAATGAAAGTGAAGTAAGGTGCCTTGTGTTACCACATAGTAAGAGTGTGCACGCAGACACCACGAAGTAAATCCACAGCTTAGTTGACTGCACGATGTCTTGATCTTGTAGCCATGGCCAGAGACTCACTGTCTCAGTTCACATTGGCTTCTAATCAGCTATTTTACGGTAATGACTTTTAGTCATTTTCATTTCAGGCTTGGTTAGAAGTAAAGTAACTTGTGATGAACTGCCACAGTAAGCGTCTGATTTTTCTTTCCCACAAACTTGTGGTTACCATCAGATTCTAAGAAGAGTCTTTCCACTGCAGATTGGAATCATATAAGCCACTTACACATACCCTTTTATTTATTAGCAATTCTGCTGGGCTAGCTAAAGGTAAAAAAACCTTTTTCTTGTGTTTCAGTCGCATTTCTAGTTAATACTCATTAACTGACTTAATATATGTTACACATCATCAACCTGATTCACTACTGACATAAAACAGAAGCAATTCGTTAGTAACGGTCCCTTGCCAATTAGTGAACTAAATTACGTTTGAACAATTTTCTTCAAAGATTCTCCTCCTCTCCCCATGCATCATTTGGCAAGTCCCCTGAATGCTTACAGTAATTATGTGCGTGCAGTGAAAGGAGACTGTTACCTCTTAAACCAAAATAAATGAATATGTGATCTTTGTGCTAATGTAACAGTGAGTAATACAAAGAATCACAGACATCCTCCTTTTGATCTCCCAGAGATACAAACAGCAATTAAGATTACAAGCTGCTTTAAAAACCAGAATATTGGGAACATTCTGTAAGGGGAAAGTGAGTTCTTCACAGGGGTCTTCGGAAAATCACTGAAGAAGGGGAAACCTTTCTCGTTTATCGTGACCACAGGCTTTTTAATAGGTGTAATGTGGATATCCTTAACCTGCTGAGCCACAAACAGGTTGGCAGTGCTTCTAAAAATCGTTCCTTGTTTCTGGGATAGTGTTTAACAAGAAGAGTAGTATCTCTGTTTCAAACTGAAAGTCAAACTGAAGTCAAACGGAAAATGCATTGTCTCAACCACATCCTTAAATACACTGTCCTCAACAAGAAAATAACCCCAGCCCCTGGTACTGCACAGTAATCTTGCGGACAGGTGTCAACATTCGTTTTTCACCTGAAAACAGGATTCTTTCGGGATTTCCACTGCTGCGTGCGATCTAGGAAATCATCTGATCTGATTGCTGCTGCTTTCGATTTTGGAAGGAGAGAAGAGAGAAGAAATGAAACACAGCACAGGAGTAGGAGAAATGAAGATTCTTTCATGCTTAAAACAGGAGAAATGAAAAACAGCACAGGAGTAGGAGAAATGAAGATCCTTTCATGCTTAAAACGGGAGAGTTAAGAGTTTTGCCACTGATTTCCATAGAGCGTGGAGGGACCTCTATCAGTGGTGGTAATACAAAGATCATACAGTAACACTGTCCAAATGAGCTTAGCGATCTTTTTTTATCTCTGGTGGATTTCTGAAGTGATACCAGTGATATGCCTTGCTATTAATGTGATTAAAAATCAGCTGATATTTTCACGAGTGTAATTCTAATCATAAATCTTTACCTGAAGAAATGTTCCATGAGATTACCATCTCGGGATTTTGGCTGGAACTTTTAATTTTTGTAGATTCTGCATTCTTCCTCTTGAGTCAGCAGGTAAAGTATGTGGTTGTGGCCTGCTGGAGTGGAGTGCCTGCATTTGTCATGCCACAGGGTTGCCATCCTTGGGGGCCAAGATCCTCGTGCCAAAAGCATAATGTCACCCTGCTGGAATCCCACCCACGTGTGTCGCTGGGCAAAGTCTTTTTTGTTAATGGATGAGTAAAATTTCATCAGGCTTTTGTTGTCATCACGAGGTAGAAGTAAGAGGGATTTGCATCTGAGCTGGCACATTTTCCATAAGCAGTTTCCAAGGCTAATTTAACTCAGGTTGGCACGTATATCTTTCCTTTAAGCGGAGGCTGAGATTCCAAAGTCAAACAGGAGTTTTCCATAGGAAACGCCGCCCTGGGTATCCGTGTGCCAGACGCGCCTGTATGGCATTTCCCGGAGCATCAATGACCTACTGTTCTAATGCAGAATCGATTGGCCACCTTGTGACATCTTGGAAATACCTTGCTGTGGATTTTGTCATTTCTATGCGAGAAAAGTAGGAATTACGATACCGTAGCTGTAAAATATCTGTGGACTCAACACCGTGATGGTACGGTCCTGTTGTAACAGAAATATTACAACTGTCCCAATTTACTTTGCGTGGTTTGTTCTGGAAGGGCTAATGATTCCCCGTGCAAGCCTCTTGATATTTTCTTGCCTGATTAGCTAAGGGTTTAGCTCTGCATTCAACACCTTTTTAAAGAGGGAATCTTTGTTATGGAGAAGACATACCCTTAAACATAGTTCAGGAAGGTTCAAAGCCTGTTGCTGCTTTTTACAAGAAAGCACCCGAGACCTGCCCTGGAGGACTTTTGAGAAAGCACCTACCAGTGGGAGAAGAGGGCTGTGGTAGGCAAATATAACATACTGATTTCTTTTACAATCATGTCATGATATATTCTGTTCATATTACTTGTATTTCTTTACAGGACGTGCAGTGAGGGGATGTTTATTCTGATGAAAGTCTAGGCTTGATAACAGGAAACCAAGTCCTTTGTGCAGTAAATTGACCTTGAATCACACACAGACCTTTTTTTTCAGTAACAGAGGGTAAGACTGTCTAAAACACAGGAAAATGGTGTCTCTAGAAAACAAAGTGGCATTTTGAGTTGGCTAGAATCTACCCAAGCCTTTGCCAGCCTTAGAACCGTGAATGTCAGCCCGAGCAGGTGGTAGAGATGCAGCCGTGGGTCAGGGGCTTCTCAGGAGAGCCAGGGGAACAGTTGCTTTTTGTCCCTGAATACTTTTTCTTAAAAGTTCAGTCTAACCAGCCAAATTGAAACTGCCTGTCAGCACTGGGATGCTGGAGACCTCTCTGTGTGCCCCAGTGGGGGCATTCAGAGGCTGGCTGAAGGGCTCTCTCCCTTCCACTCTTCCCGCCCTGTAGAGAGCACTGGCCTTTGGGGTCAGGAACTGCATCTCATGAGCCCTTGCAGGAGATGCTATTACAGGGTTTTGATCTTGTCAGACATTCTTAGATGCTTCCACAGCATTAATAAAACAGCATAATAGGGTGCAGTTTTATTAATGACCAGTATTTCCAGAGTGAAGGAGCTCTGGTTACATGCAAAAGAAGGTCGGGTTTGTTTTGTTTTTTTTTTTTTTTCTCTCTCTGCTCTTCCACCCTGGCATCTGAGACTTTCGCTGAGCTCTGCTTACCCATCTCTAGCTGTTCTCTGCTGCATCTCTCCAGAGCAAGCATCTTCCCCCCCATTTACGGGGAGTCTTGCTTGTTGGAGGTGTTTACTTGCCATCGATCGTTCCTAGTAGGCCATAAGATCAGGCATCAGCAGGGCTTTGGTGATTCCTGGCTGTGTCCCCTAAGCAGAGAGCTGGGAAGGGACAGCACAGGTAGCTTACAACTGCTGTGTCACCTGTCTGTTCTCCTAAAAGCTTAGGTCAGCTGCCGATTTGTTGGGTTACTTTTCAGCCAGAAGAACCTTTTGCCTCATCTGGCTCACCCTCTAGCCAATGGGCTAATGGTGGTGCAAGAGGAATGGTGAAAATGAGTTCAGAGGCTGTAGAGCAGGGACAAGGACCTCTGGGTTTGGCACTGACCTCCATACAGACCAGCTTCAAGAGGAACAGGAGTCTGTAGCACAGCACAAGGCAAAACTCCCCCGAAACAATCTTGGTGTTATTCCATGGTAAAGAGGTTCTGAATCAGTGCAGACTTCAGATGCGTGGAAGATACTGGTAACCACGACATCTAGACAAAATGTAGTGGCCTGTACACAACCAAATATTTCCTTTGGCTTGTGGTTGGTTGGCTGTTACCTGGTTTCCCTGCCCATGAAATGGAATGACACAGAAGTAAAAAAAGAATTGGGCCAGTTGCCTGACAGCCTTTACTTTCTATTTTCAAAGTATTGCAAAAAGAGCTGAACCTGAGGCTTTGGGGCAGGAATATTAAAAAAAAAAAAAAAAAAAAACACCACCAACAACAACAAACCAAGCACTCTGAGCATCTCTATACATTTTGGTAAGGCCAGACAGGCTCATCCAAAGATGTTTGCTGCTTGTGTCAAGTTTGGGGAAGCTTTGTGTGCTTAGAAGCCTCGAGTGGCTTGGAAATCAGACCCACAGTCAGCCCACAGGTTTCTGCGAAGGAGGTCCGAGTACGAGCAGGGATTTGACATGGATGTGTCAATTTTCTGGTTCAAAAGAGACGTCAGCTTGCAAGTAAATTTGCCATGTCGGTAGCGTTTTAGAGGGCCATTGCCTACTTATTTTTTAGAAATTATTTAGCCGATTGGCTGGCCAGCTTTCCTTTTCCCAGGCTGTTTGAGAGCATGTAAGAGCTGAGCTACTTGGCTACAAGAGATTTTCTTCTCTGAAATTGGCAGCTGCTCATTCCGGAAGAGAATCAGCATATTTGGCCACTGGTTGCAAAGGAAAAGGGAAAACCATTATTTTTCCATTTCACTTATTTAACTATCCAGTGGGAGACATTGACTGTATTTGGGTGACCCTTATTACTAAGGCATTGCTAAGGCTTCCCTCCTCTGCCCTTTGCTTAAAAGTAGAAAATAAAAATATCCAGTTCTCAAAAATGCATATATTCTCCTTGGCTGGATTAGGAGTTAGCCGGTGCCAAGTATCTAATGGTATCAGGCCTTACACATCGGTATATTCAACGTCACGACTTCATGAGTCAGGATTTTCTGTCTGAAAAGGATCACGTCAAGAAACCCGGACAAAAATTCCCTATAGCCCAGCAACAGAGCTTGCTGTGTAAGAAGCTCTGTTAGGAAAGAGAGTTAGATGTGAAAGTCAGATATTTCTGCCTGGGCATCCTTCCACGTTGGACAAAGGAAGTACTCAGTACCGGTCAGTGAGGCTTCTCATGACTCAAGTGCTTTGATAATTGCTCCTGGAGCACAGTGTGTGAAACTCCCCAGACCTGCAGCGCGGCCGGCCGTGCCGGGGGAAAGGCGAAGGGTGGGTTTGCTGATGTC